ATATCATCAGTCGACTGAATATATTAACTAACAAGAACACTGTAATGCGGTCAGCAATGTACTTAGGCTCTCGGTAGACAATCATTTGATGATTCTTAGATACACATGGAACAACCCCACAAACAGCTTGAACCTAGGGCTCATCCAACGAACAAGATGAGACAAAACAAAGAGAGAATAAGTTCCGGTGTGCAGCCCTTTGGATTTGACATTTGCCGAAGTCGCTTTCGATACCAAACGCGAGCTTAAGGGAGTCGCATATTATGTCTAGTTTAATTCCAGCCATTTCAAGATCTTCATTCAAACTGGCCATTGATAATGATATGGTGAGGGTGAATCAATAGCGGTCACGTTACGGTCACGTTACGGCTGTTTGCCTGTCCAACAGTCAACTAAAATCACGTGAATCATAATCGCTTCAGAGGATTACGTCTGCAATTCCTTCATTATAACAAGGAAGAATTCCAAAAGAATCCCCAGATCGGGCGTCAAGGCCTCGCGAGCTTGACATTTCTCGAAACACCTCTCAGTGTACTGCCGTGCTCCGGTTATGCCCCCGCCCCGTTGCTGACGATAAAGCACCTTCCGGGCCATAGGACTTCACCTGCCCATTTCTTGCTGTTGGCTAGGAGCATTTTTATGCCAAGAAATCAATTTCCTCTCAATTGGAACTAAACCCTAAATCCCCAATTGCTTGGCCAACAAAACCCTTTATCGAATTAGAGCAATTGCGCAAGTCCTTTAAACATTCGAAGTTTTGAGCGAGTTCTCGAACTAGGTTTCAATAGAAGCAATGGCGAGCTCTCATTTGGTGGAACAAGAGAATGATCAGCCGACGCTAAGCAATTTCTATGCAATAATTGTTTTTCTCTTTTGCAAGTTTGCTTTTGTTTATCTATTTTTGTGGGAATTCACATGAATGTGAAGTCTACGTTGATGCTGCAGCTCGTAAAATCCCTCGGTTCAAACCTTAAACATACGTACTAAAAAAAGCACAAATTTCACGTGTTCTGTACTTGTCGCATGCGAGAAACCGCCTCCTCGGGTTCAACTCAGTCCATGATGTCTTCAGTCGATCCCTGCTTCCACCTTTGCAGTTGTCCGCCCTAATCCGAAACCCTAATCGCAACTCCTAGCTCCCTCAATTTGTTTCTCAATTTGGCCCCCTTTTGGCTGGTTTTCATTGGGGAAAACTGATATTTTTCGGAGAAAAATGCCCCTATCCAACGTCAAGAAATCGGCATGTGACGGTCGCGTCATTTCTGGAAGGTGCCTTTATCTCCGGCGATGAGGTTGGCGGTATTTTAAGAAAAGTCGCATTTTGAGAGCTCTTTTGAGAAAATGCGTACACTTCGAAGTCTTTTGAAATATTTAATAATAACAATAATGATAGTAATAATACCACCAACAACAAGAATCAAAGAGGGAATTCTTCCCCCAGATAATACTTCGTATAAATCTATAAAAAGACCGAGTCATTGCAATAACCATGGCGATTAATCTAGTGAAGCCATTCGACTTGCAAAATATGATAATGTAAGCATTAACGGCGAGAAAGAGAAGAGGGCAATACTAAAAGCGGTCGCCAAACTCGAATGGTTGCGTACTGATTAACCAAATCGATATGGTTGCCATCACACATGTGAATAAATGGTATGAAGGTGCAGGGATCAACGGACATCGAGAAGGGGACACGAACTAACATAGGCGACGCCGACCTGGTGCACATCATTACGAGCCTGAGAAAGAAACATGGGAGGCGTGGGGAAATCGGCACCGTCGGACCACCGAAGCCACCAGAAAAGAAGGACGACAGGCCTAAAACTAAATGCCTGTCGCCGGTGCTGACTCTTGCCGCACCCTCTGTGCTGCTGCCCTTATTCTTGCTCTGTTGCGAGTACTACGCCATTACTTGCTCCGTCCTTTTGATGAGCGCCTAACGATCGAAATCAAGTGCCACGATCCAATGACACGATTTTGATCTTTGGTCACGGATATGGGATTTATGCTATCTCCAAGAGACTAAAATTTAAATAATCATGGATGAACATGATGGGCTAATCGCTGTAATTCTATGTGCGTTCCTTGGTTTATTCTCCTAAAGGCTATAGTCATGTGTAACCGTAAGTAAACGATGTTATTGAACCGTAAAAAGGGTTCTGAGTAAAAATTCCTTCGACCGCGGGAAATAAAATGACATTATGGTAAGATTTGTGTGGCACTATAGGTATATTTCCCCTTTTGTAGCGCAAGGTACCATTGAATACTATCATTGATTTAATGCGGGTGTTTTATGATTCGATTTGATGATATGACATCGGCATATTACGTCATGCACATGCCTCGCAAGATTTATTTTACGAGCCTGACTATAGAGTAGGTTATAAGTGGCTTCAGGATGGGTAGATTCCAAACTGAGAACTTGGAATCTATTCCACTCGAGCCGGTTTCCTGTTATTGGAATCAAGAACCGAATCGGTAAAACTAGCCTAGAATCGAACCAAATGGACCCGAGAACCAGCCTACTTTTTTATTATAATTTGTTTATGTTTCATTTTTAATTTTATTGCTTTACTGCACACATTATTTTTGCAAAAGTTCTCAATTAGGACACCGTAAACGGTAGGCTTAAGTTGGGATGCTCAATCTTATTGGTTTTTGCAAAAGTTTTCAATTAAGAGACTTCTATGGTTTGGTTATGAACCGACTCAAGGTCAAGAACCAGAAACCGGACCCGGCCGGTTCTTAAATTTTTTTATCCTAAAGCTAAATCGGTCCCCGTGTGAACCAACTTGGAGCCAATCAGCTCGGTTCGGTTCTCGGATTGAACCAGTCCGGATGCTCACCCTTAATGTTCATGTGCGAGGGAGAACATTGGTCAATATAAGTAAGAAAAAGCAGCATGGCATATAAATTTAATTGACAAATAAGACACTGATTCTATCCTTCAAAGCTGACTTATTGGGACCTTGTCCACATTCAATTTCTTTTTCTTCTTTTCAACAAATTTCACTATACAAATGAATTCAGATTCTTATTTTTATTTTGTTTTTCCTAATCAGATGACGAGCTATGCAAATTTTCACTAATTTAATTGCCTTCCAATATAAAAGCGCCGGCCTAATGATTGGGGAACAACTTATTGTTCTTCGATGAAATTAATAATTGGGATAATGACACAAACAGTCCCTGAACTTTGACTCAATGTGCAATTTGGTCCCTGAACTTTTAATTTGTTCAATGTAGTCCACGAACTTTAACCTAATATTCAATTTGGTCCACTGAACTTTTAATTTGTTCAATGTGGTCCCTGAATTTTAATATGTGTTCAATTTAGTCCCTGGACTATATGAAAATGTTCAATATAGTCCACTACTTGAATTAATGGAAGGACTACATTGAACATTTTCAAATAGTTCAGGGACTAAATTGAACACATATTAAAAGTTCAGGGACCACATTGAACAAATTAAAAGTTCAGGGACCAAATTGAACATTAGGTTAAAGTTCAGGGACTACATTGAACAAATTAAAAGTTCGGGGACCAAATTGCACATTGAGTCAAAGTTCAGGGGACTGTTTGTGTCATTTTCCCTTAATAATTTGTATTAAACAGACAATGATGATGTACCAACTGAGACGTTGGTAACAGGTTAACAGCAAATATGGTCTGTCCGTCCACCAATTCATCTTGCTTAGACGACATGTTGAATATTGAGCATATATAATATATATATAAAATATAAATGTTAATAATTATTTATTTTTTAATATATATTATATATATATGTTTCCTGGGATGGTGTAATGTGGTCGAGGCAGGCTTAAGTCATTAGAGAAGTAGAGTATTGAGGGACGATGTACGTCGAATTAAGCTAGATTATCTACCCCCCAAAAAATGTCAACTAAAGGTCAAAATAAGTCGTAGAGAAAAGTAGTAAGGAATCTATTATTTCTAAATTGAAGATCAGACTATTATAAGTGAAACAAAAGCATGTACGTACTTAAATTCGGGAGGTCAATGATGGACCGACGGGTGAGCTGGTTGGGGGTCATCGCCCTACCGATTGATTGATACTTGATGTAGTTTCTCGAAATATATGTTATCATCTATGAGATTTCACATAGACTATCGACATTTCGTCCCCCGCATCCCCTTCCCGAGCTAAAAGCTGTAAATTTTTTTTTGTCTCGCCTTATTTGAGCTAGGTTTGTGGGCGCGCCACTGCTAGAGTGGAATGACTTTAGATTAAAATCGCATTTGTTTCGCGAAAAATAAATAATTTGAAAATTATGTTCTTAAAAATGATCGCTTGTATCTCTTGAAATAATTAGTTAATGATAAATATTTTCATTATTGACAATGATGACAGTATCTTTCTCATTCATTTTTTTTTGTAGGCGATACAAGCTATCATTTTTAAGAAAATATTTTTCGAATAATTTATTTTCTGCGAGACAAACACACCCTAATACATATATGTATACTGATGTACCGACCCTCATGCATGGCCACACGAACAAGTGATTGAGTCTTGACTTATTTGTTAGAACTAAACCAATGACAAACGTTTCACAGATCATTTGAGAGCCACAATATAGACCTTAGACGTGATACGCAATGTGATTGGCTTGATTTACTATACCGCCGAACCTATGCGTCGACTTCCCCGCGAAAAAACATGTTGCGCGCTCGAGACATTTGGTCCACGCCATCCTCCAAACGAAAAAAAAAACATGCGGGAAAGAAAGAACTTCATTAGTCTCTACGTCCTGGAAATGATACTGTTCTGGTGCAAAAGTCAAGAGTCTTCCTCTTGCATAATATAATGTGCATGGCCATCCAAACGTGGCGGTAGATGGAGTCCTAACACTTTGTCTGTTCTTCACCGCTAAATTATAGAGTTTTGCAGGTCGTGAAAAGCGTATAAATAGGGCATTTTTGTTTCGCAAATTAGTGAAGCTGATCATACTTCCTTTGTCCACCCCCTGCTGCATCCATGGCCCTGGTAATCAGATTGCGTCCTTCTCTATGATCAAGAGCTAATATATAATGGCATTTTTCTCTCTATCTATCTTCGTAACTGTCAATGTAGTTTTGTCTTCTAACTTTCTCCGTCTTGCGGTGTCTCAATCTCAGAAAATCGTGATAAAGGTTATCATCAAATGCGGGAAGGACAAGAAATATATTTTCAAAGCAGTCGCCAAACTCGAAGGTATGATCTCCCTATACTTGCCTCGCCAGAACCAGTTTGCTAAGTTGAATACATGCAGTCGCAAGTGGATCGCCTTCCTGATTTCTTTCTAGTCGTTCCCTAGCGAATTGATAACTTGATTGTTGAAGGGGACGTACGTGCGAATTCAAGGTTTGTGGCATAAATATGCAGGTATCACCAGTATAACGATAGACGCTGACAAGGGAACATTAACAATCATTGGAACCGTGGATCCAGTGTGCGTGGTCTTGGCTCTGAGAAAGAAATGCGGGATAGGCGTGGAGATCGTAACAGTCGGACCAGAAAAGCCTCCGGAACCTAAAAAAGACCCGCCTAAATGCCCAGTGTGCCCTACAAAATGCCTTCCGACGTGCCCTACAAAATGCCTTCCAACGTGCCCTACAAAATGCCCTACAAAATGCCCTCCACTGTGCCTGCCTCCGCCGTGCCCTCAACCATGCTCTCCTCCGCCGTGCCGCTACCCTCCACCGTGCTCTCTTGACCGTTGTCCTCCTCGTCATTGCGATTACGATAGGAACTCCTGCCCCATCCTTTGAACGATGACTCGTTGTTGGCTACCCTTTGTGAAAAGCACGTGTTCTTCTGTCAAATTCCGGCGACAGGACAAATAAAGGGATCGTCCCATGCCAAATGTTTATTGTCTTTCCTAAATGTCTGTTCCCTAGCAAAGTTCATCTCCATGCCTTGTAAAGGATTTGTTTATCATATGGCGACTAGTTTTAACGCAGCTGTCATTGACTTATCGATGTGACATGACTGATTTTGTCCATTTGTTCTATCGTTGTCACGCTTAACAAAGTCACTGGCACATTATAATCTTGCAATGAGTTCACCGGTACATAGAATATGGCCACCGCACTAGGGATTTTAAATGGGAAAGAGTGCAAGAAAACAAGATCAAAACTTTCATCACCTGCTTTAGGTTCTCACCTTCTTGTTCTAGGTTTGAAGTCCACTGAAATTGATCGGTCAAAACTTTCTTCAAATGAAATGACATCAGACTTGATCCATTACCTCCTTGGGTTCGCCTCACTCCATGATATTTTGGACAAAAAACAAAAGCCCTTGGCCAACGTGAAGATGTGGGTAGCTGACCATCATAGTTGTACGCTTTGCGGGTCGAGAAAAGTCCCATTTTGGGTGCTCTTTTGAGAAAAAAACGTCGTATCTTAATTCTTTTGATATTTTTCCTGATTATGATAACACTGATAATACTAATAAGAATAATAATAATTCTAGTAATACCAACAACAACAAGCTTAGAGAGAACTTTGCCACCAACAAAAAGACCAAGTCAAATTGCAATGACCATGGCGATTATTCAAGTGAAAATTCCACGTGCATATTCTTGATAAGCTTGCCCTTAAACAAACCCTCGAACTTGTCTTATTCAATCATTGGTTAGCATAATGCAAGTCTTACAAATAGATTCATATGTTCTCACAAGATCAATGATTTTCATTGCTCCACCATCTTTGCATCCGCTGCAAAGGTAATTTTGCATGCATACGCTCTCTTCTCTGCAGGCAATAGATTCTAGCTTTCCTTTATCTCAAAAACTAGTAAACCTTCCCGTCATTGATGAACTTTGCCATCACTTTGTTGTTTTGCCGCGTTGTAATCGCGCAGAAAATGGTAACAAAGGTAAGCATTAACAGCGAGAAAGATAGAAGGGGAATACTAAAAGAGATCACCAAACTCAAAGGTACAAGGTCATGCTCATCTTGCCAGATCATATTTGAGTCATTAACAATGACCATGGCGATTATTCTAGTGAAGATTCCGCTCGCTTGATATGATAAGCTCGTCCTATGACAAATCCGTCACAAACTTGTCTTATTCACTTATTGATCAACCATTAAAAAGGTCGAAAAATCTTGGTCCATAACGGGTCATTTGACTAGTAATTAAAATAAGAGCCTTCCAATATAGTTCACATAATGGGTTACGATTTGACAGACTATAGATCTAAAGTTAGAGCGAGCTAGCAAGAGAACAGGCAGATAAAATTCTGGAGACATACCCCGTGGAACAGCACAAGGATCATCACGACCCCGGGCAATCAGCTCTGTTTCTTGTTTCTCCCTTGTAACGGCACGTTGCGTTCTCTGTGAATGCATCTCGAGACAAGATCAATTTAAAAGTCACATTAAGGAATGAGAATCATATCCTAGGTTTTGACACAAAGAGGCATGGCAAATCTTATGGATGATACTCAAAATGGGGAACTAAGAGCTAGCATACTCCGCTGCAGAATGAAAGAAATTGTTCAAAGTCAATACATCACCAAAAATGCAGCACTGTTCCAACGTACGGCGTGTCCGCTGTGTGAGCACATAGCAGGAACGTAAGCTTATACATGCCCGCATCTGTGCATGTATACTGATAGAGTGTGCAGCACACATGTGCGTGCTTGTCCGTCTGTGTGTCCATGTTAGTGTGCATGCGCGCGCGTGTTCGGAGTGGAGCATGAGATGCCTATCCCTGCACCAACCAGAAAGATATGTTCTCGTTGTGATTCTTCCTTTTTAATTCATCATCATGCTAGCTAATACGTTCGGAGACGTCGACCTGAGTTCTGCGATCGAAGAACTTGGAAAGGTGGAAAAAACAGCAGAGGTTGTGAGTGTCGAAGAAGATGAGTATCTGGAGCCGTCTCAAGAGAGTGTGCTCTCTCTCCAAATTATCACCGTTCTAATAAAACTTCCTTTGTCATGAATGAGAAGATTAGACGTTTAACAAGCCAATAATTACTAGATACTTAACCTGTTACAATACCAATCATCCAAATTACGATCGGTAGCCATTCAACCTATTGCGTGCTACAAAGTAATTAGATTTAACTTCACGCAAAAGTTAAGTCAATAAATTATAAGCCGAATATTAACTAATACGAATGTCATAATACGGTAGGCAATGTACTTAGGCTCTTGGTAGACAATTATTAGATGATTCTTATATAAACAAGGAACAACCCCACAAGAGTTTGACCCTAGGGCTCATCCGCTTTAATTTGAGATTTAAGTGAACAAGATTTGACAAAAAAAAATAAGAGAGAATCAGTTCCAACCTGTGGTCCTCTAGATTTGACAATGCCAAAAGTCTCTTTCCATACCAAACGCAAGTTCCAAGGAATTGCTCGTTGTGTCCACTTTAATTCAAACGATGGGTTAATACCACGAAAAACCCTAAACTGGTATACTTATGACACATTTACCCCAAACTATTTTTACAAAAAACCAAACTGGTACACCTGTGATAATTTTACCCCGAACTTACCACAAAAAACCCCAAACTGGTACACACGAGACAATTTTACCCCGAACTAATTTTTAATATTATTTTTTATTTTTTTGAATTTTTTTGAATTTTTTCTTTTTTTTTTCTTCATCTTTAACCTCTGGCCGGTCGCCGGTCCGGCGACCGGCCAGAGGCGGATGCTGGCAAGGTTGGCCTCGCCGGCCGCTGGCGAGGCTCGACCTTGCCGGCGTGGGCGAGGACGCCCTCGCCTACCCGGGCGGGCCGTCACCTCGTCGACCGCCAGGCGAGGCGGCCCTCGCCCAACGCAGGCGGGTCGCCCTCGCCCAACACAGGCGAGGCGGCCCTCGCCCAACACGGGCGAGGGCGCCCTCGCCCGGTGCCGCCCGAGGCTCGACTTCGCCGGCCGGCGGCGAGGCTCGACCTTGCCGGCGTGGGCGAGGGCGACCTCGCCCGACTCGGCGAGGTTGCCCTCGCCCGCCCGAGCGAGGCTGCATTTCGTCCGACGCCGCAAGGGTAGCCCTCCCCGACGCAGGCAAGGGTCGCCCTCGCCCGGATCCGGCGAGGGCAGCCTGCGGCATCGGGCGAGGCCGCCCTCTCCGACTCTAGCGAGGGCCCTCGCCGGCGCCGGGCGAGGGCCCTCGCTCGGCTCGAGCGAGGTTGCCCTCGCCAGCCGAGGCGAGGGTCCTCGCCCGCCCGTGGAGGGCCGCCCGCCCGACGCCGGCGAGGGCGGCCCTCGCCAGCGGCCGGCGGGGCCGACATCGCCCCGGCTTCCGCTGGCCGGTCGCGGTCAGGCTACCGGCACGGAGGTTGAAGATGAAGAAAAAAAAGAAAAAAATTAATAAAAATTCGAAAAAAAAATAATATTAAAAATTTAATTCAGGGTAAAATTGTCACATATGTACCAGTTTGGGGTTTTCTGTGGTAAGTTCAAGGTAAAATTGTCCCAGGTGTACCAGTTTGAGGTTTTTGGTGGTTAAAAAAATAGTTCAGGGTAGAATTGTCACAGGTGTACCAGTTTGGGGTTTTTTGTGGTAAAAAAAATAGTTTGGAGGTAAATGTGTCACAAGTGTACCAGTTTAGGGTTTTTCGTGGTATTAACCCTCAAACAATTTCAAGATTTCCGTGCAAACTGGCCATTCGATATGGGAAGGGGGGGTGGTGAACATAAAGCGGTCACGTCAAAGCTGTTTGACTTGTTGCTCGTACTTCAAAGATGCCCCTCCCAATGGAACAACATAAATTAGTTTAGTTTTGTTCTTGCTGGTGCATCTAATTCTAAGGTGATAGGCAGAGCTTCCCGTCCACCAATCAACGAAAATCACGTGAATTAAAATCGCTTAGAGGGTTACGATTTTAGGAATAATGACATTAATGATCCTTAAATTTTAGCCCAATATATAATATGGTCCATAAATTTTTAATTTATTTAATGTGGTACCTGAACTTTACTTTAATGTGTAATTTGATCCATGAACTTTTAATTTGTTAAAAGCTATTGCTAGAGTAATCACACCATTACTTTGTTAAATGTGATCTATAAACTTTGGGTACATGTTGAATTTAGACATTTATATGAAAATATTCAATGTTGTTATTCCTTAATTCAAGTTTAGGGACAATTTAGGGATTAAATTGAACATGTACCAAAAATCTCATATTGAATAATTTAAAAGTTCAGAGATCTTATTGTACATTGAGCTAAAGTTCAAATATCATATTGAACAAATTAAAAATTCAGGGACCTCGTTGCACATTGAATCAAAATTCAATGACCGTTTATGTCATTTCCCCTACTTTTTATTATCCCTTTGTTACGTTAAGGAAAAGTTCTAATAGAATCCCAAGATTGGACACCTTTTCTCAAAAGACTTCCCCTGAGTGGGACATTTCTCGAAATACCTCTGGATGTACCACTGTGTTCCAATTATCGAGAAAATATTGGGTAAGACTAATTTTCTACGTCATTCATAAGTCACTCCATTCCTTGGGCGACGCGTGGCAATGGCAGTCCCACTCTTTCTCCTCTCCGTCGCTCTCTCTTCCTTGTTACTATCAACGTTACTGACCGACTCTCTCTCTTCCGCTCTACACTTTTCTCTTCTTCTTCTTTGTCTACCTCCCATAGACCTATCGGTGCGACTCAATGAGCTATGCCCAGAACTTAGATCACGGCAGGAGATCGTCGTCGTTCGTTGTTCGTCGAAGCTTATTGATTGATTGATTGAAGTAATGCCGTAGTGAGAGAGCCAAGTAAAGGAAATCGAAAAAAAAAAAA